CCCAGCCAGCACCGAGTTACCCTAAGGAATTCTGGAAGATAACTTCTGTAAGATAAAGGTCAAGATCCAGTTAACTTGGAAGTTACTTTGCTAAAACTTACAGACAACGCATGGTTCTCTTAATACCAGCGTAGAGATAACTGAAGAATTATATTTTAATGTACTCAGTGTTTTCAATCATATTTTTCCTGGGAGGCATTCTTCATTATTTTTGCTTTTACTAGTTTACTTTACAGCACTCGAACCTGTGTATATAAAAAATAAGTAAAGTTAAAAAAACTAGAATCTGTCATATTTTACGTGTTCGAAAAATCGAAAAAAAGACTGAAAATTTAGTGCCATTTTATACGGCAGTAACTGGAACTAAAGCTTCGGGTAGAGACACTTAACACTTTTCTTTTTACCCCGAATCCACGTTTATTGCCGGATTGCCGCCAAAACTACGAGTGTTCAGTCTCTCTCATCACCGATCGAACTTTTTTTTACTTTGAACGAGTAAAAGTATGTACTTGATAATTTTTTCTCTGTATTGTTAGATGTAGGTATAATCAGTCAATAACAACTATTCTTATTCATTTAACGACAGAGTCATTTACCAAGATGCCAGGCGCCGAAAATTGCACTTTGAGGTACGTCAAGATGACTGAAAAAGCCTTTGCACCCGAAAAAGGTTCAGCTCTGTCTGCAGGCTACGATTTGAGAAGGTATACTGCAAATTCATTTCGATTTTCTTCATTATTAATTGTTTCCATACCTGATAAAACTTACTTATGATTGAATTCCCAAAATCCTCATCACCATTTGCTCGTTTTTTCAATTGTAATGATTTTGTGTGTATTTATAATTTTTGCGATGGATTATGATAAAACTCTTGTTTATTGTTCACAGTGCTTATGATCATGTAGTACCAGCCAGAGGAAAAACTCTTATCAAAACGGATTTGAAATTCGCTGTACCTGAGGGTTGTTATGGTAGAGTAGCACCGAGGTCAGGCTTGGCCCTAAAAAACTTCATAGACGTTGGTGCTGGAGTCGTTGATGCAGACTACAGGTAAAATTCTTTTAACTATAATTATGTATCAAATGATCAACTGATTGATCTAATAGAAAATTTCACAAATGGTTACAGAGGCGAAGTAGGAGTAGTTTTGTTTAACCATAGTGATACTGATTTTATTGTCAAGCCTGGAGATCGTATTGCTCAATTTATCTGTGAAAAAATAGCTTATCCAACTTTAGAACACGTTGAAGCATTAGATGACACAAAGAGAGGAGCAGGTGGTTTTGGTTCAACTGGAGTGAACTAGACTACTAATCATACATTTAATATCATTGTTATTACTAATCCTAAAGTTGAAGTTAATTATTTTTATACTTTTCTAAATAAATTTTTTTGG